GAGGATCTGAACTCTGGAATGAGCACCAAGCAAGAAAAAATTGCTCTAGCAAGGTCTTCATACAGATGGCACTTAGGCTGTCAAGAACACAGTATTCAAAAGATGCATCTGGCGATGGTGTACTTCAATCTATGCATGTTCTATATGACTTAGCTTGGTGGAAGACACACGGGAGCTGAAATGGAGATTTCAAGGAAAGGATGAAGGGCTGGAGAGAGGCTTAGCATAGTATCAAGGAGGCCATATTCAAACAAGAACTCAGAGCCAGGTGTCAGCTATAGCCATACTTAAACAAGAAAGCTAGGAAATACATGCAATAGGAGTTCCTGAAGGGTTTTCAATGTCTCATATTGGAAAAGCATTGTGTATAGAAATATAGGTTAGAAAGAAGCTAATATCCATTAAAACTCTATGTGCTCTGCGTATGAGGATGAATCAGTTGAGTGGAAAAAAGCAGTAGGAACACTTCTTCACACTCATCCCACACAGCTCTTGAGTTTGAGAATGGAGTCCTTGCCTGGGATGTAGCTCAGCGGCATAAGTGTTTGCCTGGCAAGCCTGAGGTCATGAGTTTGATTCCCAGTACCAAAAACAAAAAAGAGAATGGAGTCTTCCCTAGCATAGGGCCATTCCAAACCCAGACTTTTCCAGGCCTAGGCAACAGTCGCTGTGGCACTGACATAAACAGAGTCCTGTATGAAGATGCTTGACTGAGCTCTACCCTGCTCCACCATTGTTGCACCCCCAGACGTACATCTTGATGCAGTTCTTCCCCATTTCCTAAAGGCAGATGAATGGGAGATAGAAAGCAGGATGTTCTGCCATTCTCTGGTCAGAGATCCCTTGACTAGAAATATTTAGTGCTAGATAAAGTTATGGACAGGTTAGATATAGGAATATTAATGTTCAATTTCTTTAAGTTACTGCTACCACAATAATTTTTAAATGTTAATCAGTGATGACTACTGTTACAGTTCAAACTTGTTACTGATATAGACTGCTTACATGATTGGTCTAGTAGTTTAACTTCCTTTATACTATGGTCTGAATGGAAACATGAGTTCCAAATTTCAAATATATAAATTCCAAAGAATTTTACAGGATTGTCAGCATTTATGTCAGTTATATTTACTTTAAAGAGAAAAAAAATAATAAAATACCAACAACAAGGACAAAAACAAAAGAGCACAAAAACAATAAAAACAATGCATGATTTCAAAACAAGATGATAGGAATTAACAATGCTTGTTATATTACATATTGTTATCTTCAACAAAGTTGCTCAGATTACCAGATGTGAGAATGCAAGAATGAACAAACAATTAAAGAGAATAAAAAGTAATAAAAACATTAGAAACGATACAGAGCTTCACTCAACTAGATGGTAGGAATCCAAAATGGTTATTTTTTGGCATATTGTTGCCTTTGCAACTCTCCAGTTTTAATTAGGCTTCATACAGTAGCCCTCACAATATTAGCTCATTAAACAACTAAAACTCTCCTGTCTTACACTTGTGTTTCACAAGAACCTCCACAAACCCTTTAATTCTGCAAATAAAGTTGAAATTTCATGAGTATATGCTTACATCAACATCACTCCTACAGACACATGCCTTCAACACAGTGAGAGCAGCCTGCCTCCTTTTCTTTTCCAGCTCCTAAGCCTGTGAAACTAAAAAGAAAAGGACAAGCAAGACATCAAGTTTGAAGTCCTTTATTCAACCTTATGACCCACGATAAAATAACAAAATCAATTTTGTCTTTAGTGAGACCTCATTTCCTGAAAGATAAGCCTTCTATATATTGAAATGTCCTCTATCACCCCAGAGCATAAGAACCCCAAACCTGAGAGTGATATTGCTGTCTATCCTGAGTACACTTTCTTTGGAAAGTCTCTTAACATTTCTATGCCTGCCTTTGCCCTTCTGCAAATTAATCTTGTAATACCCATTTTGAAAGAGTGATAGGAAGCTTTTGACATGTGTAACAAGGACTTTGAGATCCTCAGATGAAAGGAGGCTTGGATGTACAAATGCATTATCCTCATTGCATGTGCAATTTCTCCTATGGTCTAACTGAAGGGAGGGATTAGGGGAGATTAATTGTGCATGTGATCTGTCTAATCAGTTAAGGAGAGCACAGAATGTTCATGACCTTCAAGAATGCCAAATAAAACAGCATGTGGCAAGACAGTTTCCTGAGTTTAGCTTCTTGTTTTAACAGAGGGAGAACTAGGGAAGAGACGGAATTGCTTGGGTTTTGAGACAATACAATTGAGGAGCACAAAGGCAAACACTTCAGAAGGAGTGCATATAGAACAGGAGTAAAATACAACAAAGCTCTTGGACCTAAGACAAAACATTTTTAAATTTCCAGATTTTCCTCCCTATATTAGTGTGCTCTGTAAGGTAAAGAAATGTATTACAATAGTTCTAATTTCATTTCCCCTAAAATTACTTTGATGAGAGAGGGTACTTTTTTCAATCTCCTCAATCCTTGCATTCTTTAATTATATGTAAGCTTCAGTGGTTTATCCTCGGTTGTTTTAGTCTATTGCGAGGGAGGAAGACTGATGGAAAGAACTTTTCTCTGTGAGAATGGCATGATTATTATTACAAGGGTCAATAAAGTTAGAAATTGTTAATTACAAAGACTTTAAATTGCATTGAGTCCTGCCCTTCAGCTTTACAAACTCTGGTTAAGTCCATCAACCAATCCTAAGAAGGAGAGTAATGTGCTTCCTTTGGCTTAGTGAATATTGAAAATGTAATTGCATTCCTTTCTTATCTCATAACCCCACTGTCCTTTAACTTTTAATCGTGCTTTATCTATCCATTCATAAGTGTGTGTGTGTTTTTTTAAGCTAAGATATAGTACGTCAACACTGGTTCAACAAGACATTAAGTTCCAGGTAGAAGATAAACCCTCTTTACACTCTCTCTCCATGCTTTAAATCAAACAGCACACTTTGTCTAACTCTGCTTTTTACTCTTTTAATGCCATAAGCTTTTGAACACCAAAAATGCTGGAAATATCTTGTGTTTAATACACCAGTACATTTACACATTTTTACTCTAACTAGAATAACTTTTTCATGCCTTGACTATGTCCAATGTAAAATGATGATATCTTGGAGAAGGAAGGACATCTATAATAGTGATATCATTTTCACAGGCTATATTTTAATATATCTTTCCAAAAGAATTGGGAACACATGTAAGGTTCTAATGAGAGGTAGACAGCTACTGGGATAATCACCTAGGGTCTTCCAAAGCTCCAAATTTTTACTGTATGGTTAAGAACTGTCGCTTTCCCTGAAACTAACAAAATAAGAGCATGTCCCTCTGCTCTGTCTCGCAGTGAGGATTGTGCTGACACCTGGACAAGTATGTGGTGAAGATCCAAAAAGAACATGACAATAGAAACATGTGTAAGCACTCCACTGCAAATACAAACCTGAGAGTCTCTGTCATAATCATAATTTTAGATAGGTTTTAAAATGGATTATAGCAAACTACTAACTCTGTAGAGGTAATGCACACCAAATTCTTATCACAAACTCTAACTCAAATTAATCACAGGTTATATATTATAGTTCATCATCATCACCGCCATCAGCATCAGCATCACTGGTTTCAACATTATTTTACTTGAGGATATTATATATATGGATATTATATACATATATATTCATTTTATTTTACTGAGAATAATTAAAAAGAACAGTAGCAACATACCAACAGCATAGACAAAAACAAAACAAGGCAAAAACAATAACAATGATACAAGGTTTCAGAACAAAATATACCAGTGGCTATTACACTCCAAATGCCCATCAACTAAAGAATGGGTAAAAGAGATGTGGCATTATTACACAATGGAGTATTACTCAGCTATAGAAAAGGTAAATGAGGTTTTTACAGGTAAATGGATATAACTAGAGACCATACTCATAAGTGAAACAAATCTTATGCACATGTGTAAACATCATATTGTCTCCCTAGTGTAAGAACCTGAAAAAGGATATTTTAGAGTGTGAGGACCCATGTATCAAATATCTACAATGAGTGAAAACATCCTAGGTCATAAAAGTGAGCCAAGGGTAGCAATGTAACAAGAACAAAAATGGGGAAAGGGAACATAGATTCGGAGGGAAGGAGGTGGGTGAGAAGGGGAAAGGGCTTAAATAAACAAATGTGTTATGTCATGTAGATACTCCTCAAGATGAATGGAGACTCCAGATACTGCAAACATGTACTAATATAAAATAAAAATTAAAGTAAAAAAAAGCAAAACAACATATGAGGACTCTGCCATTGGATATAATTTTAAAAGACTTATTCTGGATCAAAATTATACATCTAGGCATAAAAGAAGCAGGGGTGCCATACTATTAAATAAGGTCAGAAATGCAAAACCAGGGCCTCAGGGGGGAAACCATAAAAAATAGCAGTGAGGTTGTACATGCCAGCAGTAAGGCCAAAGGGTCAGATTCTACCTGATTTGTGGATTAGCTCTTGATTGTCCACCCAGCAAAGCCCTCACTGAATGCTACAATATTTGACTGTATACAGTCAGAATGATAAACATAGGAATGGTGAAGGCTGACTGCTTCTTCCACACTGGATACCTGAATGATTCACCTATAACTTTATTATTACTTAGGGAGAAGATTTCCTTACCTAGCTACCTGTTGTGACGTCTCTTTCACACTCACATACACACCAGGACAACTGTAGAGATGAGATGAATTCTACCTTCATAGGATGAGGCACTACATGGAGATTCTAATTAGTACGAGCTGAATACTACTTTCATGGACTCCAATCCTGAGAAGAATCTTTCTGTTCAGAGTCTGAAGTCCCACTATTAATGTTTTATTTATTTGCGTTAAATGTTACATTCTCCCAAATGTCTTCATTAGAATGCAAACTATATGGAAACAAATATCACATTAAATAAATATGAACGTATTTATTGTATTGTTTTTCTTTTAACAGAGACAACAGGCAAAAGGAGACTGCTTGGTGCCTAGGATAGGAGGAAGACATCGATTTGGGGGTAAAAGTCTTAAAAGCAAGGTGAACCTAACCTTAATGCCAGAACAAATAAAATTTTTAAAAAGGACGGCACAGTCATCCTAAGCAACTGTGACTGCTGCTCAGTTTTTGTTTTTTACACCTCTGGGCACCATGGCCTTATTTCATTCTCTAATACTACAGATCCATTTCAGAGTCCAATGAATAAATGTCACACTCTTTGCTTTCTGCTTATGGAACTGACTCCAGCGCCCTCCAAAGATATAACAATCAGTTAGCGCCTCACATTTACAGGAATGAAGTATGTATTAATGAATACTAAATAATAAGATAAATTGGTAAGTACTGGGCGGTTTTGATTCATGCAAGCTATAACATTTATATATACGTATATATGTTTATATTTTAGAGTACATGAATCAGAATGCATAAGAATGTTTATAATTTATCTTGATTCTTAATATTTATTAATGTATAATACTAATAAATTTTAGTGCATACACTTGTAAATTTTTAATATATATTTGTACTGAGTGTGAATAAAGTGAGTAAATATTAGAAATAAAAAGAGCAAAGTGATAGATGCGATTCCTTCTCCATACCCATTTAAAGTTTGCTTTCTGAGTGTAACAACCTTGCAGTGTCAAAGTCGTTTTTAAACTCTTTTTTTTCTTTCCAACCCTGTTGTGTTTGTCTGTTGGAAACATTGCAAAAACTGCTGATATTTTAGTCAGAGGGGCAAATATTGAAGGGGGGATTAACTGGGCCTTGAAATTGCTGGAACTATAGTTTTGAACTCGGTTCATGTGAAAAGGCACAGAAAGGAAATCGTGCAGGTGAAAGGTCCATTGTCCTGTACTGTGCCTTTTGCCCCTTGTCCTGATTCTCCTGTCTACTCTTACTGCATCTACAGCTTAAAACAAGTTTGAAGAAGTCATTGCCACTGTGAGACAGTAAAAAAGAGTAAGACCAAAGGACATTTACATTTTATTTAGGGACTAGGAAATAAGAGGAAGTTTGATATATTTTAGTCTGGCTTGTTCTGGCACTGGGTAGAAGGTGAGGTCCATTTAAGCAGAGGGTCAAATGACTGGCTCAGGATTTCAGGTTCTCCGTTGAAGCAGTAGTGTGGTAAGCAAAGTGTCTTCTCCTCCCCCCATCGTAAACAGAAATCTTCTTCTGCTGAGCTTTTTAGAGATGAGAAAGTAGGTGTTTAGCAACAATAAGTGATGCTTTAGTGGTGTGAAATCAGGTACATTATTGCTGGATCTGCATTTCTGTTTGTGGAGTGGGTGGATAGATGCATGAATGGATATCAGGGCTACAAATACAGATAATAGTTTTAAAATAAACAAAATGATTAAACTCTCTGTGATTCAAAATTGAAAACACATTCATTTGTGAAATACATTTACTTTAGCTATTCATATCTGTAGTTAAACATGGTACTGAGAGCTACACATAGGGATACACACTTATACCATGCACTGCTATGTCAATATACACCAACTCATTAACCCTCTCAACATGAATTATGTATCAGTACATGGAAACCATTTTTATTGTATGGGTAACAGAATAGTGAACTTGATTCCCACTCTCTCCTCAGTAACAGTAATCATGACAACAAACACAACAACAATATGTATGCCCTATTCTACCTACCAGAACACTATCACAAACACTGTTGCCTTCAGTACTAATGGTAACCACAAGGGAGACGGTCACTACCATCCTCCACTTTGCCCATAAGGACCCTGGGGCTCTTGATCAAAGTTACATGGAAGTAAGCCGAGGAACTCATTAACACTCAACATTTTAAATGTGTGTCTCACCTTACCACCCATGCTTTCTACAGCAGGGGCCGCAGCGTTCCATGTTAATCAAGAGGAAAGAAAGAAACAGGAGTAAACAACATCGAGTTGATCTATTGATCTTTCTAAAGTCATTTACTAAATGTCCGTGTATAGTTCTGTTTTGAATGATTAATTGACACGAACATCTTTACTACTTAAATAATGAATTCTTTTTTAAGACTGTTGAAGCATGAACCTCCGATAGATATGTAAGATGCTCATGCCAGGTACATACACATTTATAAATTTTACCTCTGGTTTCTTTATACAGGAAAAAAGATATTTGAGAAAGAATATAGATCTTATAACAAAAATCATTACTTACAGTTGATAATGTAGTTTAAAAAGTCAAAGTATAACTCTTGGCTTTGCAAATCTCAACCTGAATATATAAAAGAGTAAACACACAAATGCACAGACAACACACAGGAAAATATGACCACACCACACACGTGTTTATCCGTATCCACACAGAACTTTGAAATGCACAGAACCTATAGTTCTTACAACTCTCATAGAAATAAACCTTTTCAATCATACGCTGACCAGAATCCCAAAAGGGAAGCAAAAGAGGTAATGCGTAAGTAGCCTCTATTTGAACATATGGCTTGGCATTGCTTTCAGTGACCTTGCTTGAGCTTTTTGCTGGCCAATCCAGCCATTCTCAACTCTTCTGTGGTCACCAGGGCCTAATGCCTTCTTAATGATAACCTTGTCTATTTCCTGGGATGTTTAATGGCCTCACATCGGGAAACAGCTTCACATCTTGGCTGAAACACAAGCTTCCTTAGCTTAAAAGATTAATCAGAAGCTCACAGCTAATAATAGACTGCCCTTCCCATGCCCAGTTTTAGTGCCTGATGATGGGAACAGGTTGATAAGTATTATTATTGAGTCATAGTCTTGGAATTATTCTGAAAAGGTCACTTAGTCAGCCCCTTTCCTCCTAGAGGGGTACATAGAAGCCATCCCATTAGCTGACCATTCATTTAGAATTGATTTTTAATGCCTCTGTGTCCTGGCCAGTTATTCCTTATTTGCTTTTGCCAAAAGTCAGAGGATGAAGCGAAAACATGATTATAAGAGCATAAATGATTGTAGAACTTAGAAATTTTTTCTCAGGCACTAGAATAGCAAAATGAGCATCTACTGGCTCTGACTACAGAAGAAATATGGGTAAATGCCAACATGGAAAGAATAGAATCATGAGCTTTGAGATCCAGAAGGCAAATGTTATACAAATCTCTCAATTTTTAGACAAACAAGCAAAAAAACATAGAAAAAGATCCACAGTCTCTCAGAAAATGTGTATTAATCTGCAGTCACATGTAGTAAGTTTTGTGTGTTACAAATATCTTTTTCACTTTGGAAAGTACTTTGTCTTTTACACATGGTGCTTTTTGTTGTTTATAAGTGAAAATTACTGATATTAACATATCTTTCCTTAGTGTTCCCAATTTGGGTAGTTCAAAAAATCTTTATTTTTCCCTTGCACTCGTACACGTCCTCTGTATATCATTTAAAAAGTTATGATTTTATTATCACATTCAGTTCTTTGGCCCACTTATTAGTATGCTTTCATTAATTGACTCTTTAAATAGTAAAAGAAACAGTTCTCACATTTAAATGGCATCACAGTAACATCTCCATTGTACCAAATTTCACAAATTGAAGCTGTGCTTTAAAATACCTTCTCCTCCCAGAATGATGAATCCCAGCTCCATTACTTCTCCTGAAATCCAGTGTCTTTATTTCCCTTAAAAGAATAGAACTGCCAAAGCTGGCCCATTCTTCATGAATTTAGTGAGTGAGGCAGTTGCTTAATTATTCTCTTCTTCATCCAGAGAGCATTTAGCTGTACTTTTCTTCAGTTATACTCTTGCTAAAAAGGTAAATTGAGATTTCTATAAGGCAAATAAGATTCACAAGTGAGGGATTTTTTTTATGGGCAATGTGAAACCTAATAAATACCTTCATGTAGACGAATGACTTTCATAGGTCATTTTGACTATTCCATTACATGCATTCTCTCTCACACACACATATGCAATCATCCAAGGAGAATAATGGGATATTGTGATGTTCTATATTTCCAAGAGTCCAAAGAATGTAGACAGAGAAGTAGAAAAGAATTTTCTCTCCATTCTGACTTACTTTCAGTGGCTGTCATCCTACACTTTAAAACTGACTACATTTTTGCTTGACAGTTTGGAAACTGGTGGAGTTGATAACATGAATAATTTCCAGTTGATATTAGTAAATCTCAATCAGTCATGCAGATGAGGTATGAAGTTATTGAACTTATTCTTAGAAACATAAGCAAAGGCAAATCATTGCTGCTCCACAATGAAATGAATGACTAAAGAAAGGGATAGAAAGATGCATAGTAAGTAGCTAAAAAAATGGGGCCAGAAGTATATGAATTAATTTGACAGGAGAACCAAGGTGATCTACTTGTGACAAATATTACTACCTCCACCAAACATTCAAGCTGAAGAGCTTTGCTTTCTAGGGTTCTTACTGCAGTATTTTTAACACCAAAATTTTATTTTTAGAGTAATTTACAGTGAGTACTGATATGCCGGCAAAGAAGTTTCACTTGATCTGGAAGAAGAAAAATAAAATATTCACAGAAGGATGAAAAGAGAGCATCATAACCCACTGGCTCTTCATTTCTTTTTGTTTCTTCAGATTCCAGAGTATCCAAATGCTTATCATTATTATTATTACTTGTTTCATCTACTGTATGCTCATCAAACTAAGTTTCTCTGTCACAGCTGGAACAATCAAGACTTCTTTTGTTGCTTATAATAAATAAATACTCAATTGTGAGAATGTCCTCAGGGAAAATTCATTAAAAAAGAAATGAAAATGCTGAGAAATAAATGGTTACTGTGATTGCACTTGTTTTGATATAATATGCAAAAATGTAATTTGGTTCTGTAATGTCTGGAATGCAAAGAAAAATTTAAGATGGAGAAATGAAAAAGATGCTGCATTTATTATGTAATTTCCATTATCATTTTGTGTCTGAGTGTGGGAGAATTTACATTCAAAACACTAATTTAGAATACAATGTGAGTGTAGCTAATAGGAGAAAAAGATGAGAAACATAAATAGGAATATTAAATGATAAGTTGATCAAATCGGGCCCATCTCTAGCTTTTCTTGACAGATGCTTTGTCAGATTTAATAACTACATGTTTGGATTTTTCTCTTGGTTTTGTTAAAAGTCTCTATCTGCAGTCTTATTTTGCAGTTTCCTAGATTATTGTGCCTCTCCTTGTTTTACTCAATGACAGGCAACAATAAAACCAGTCAGGGAACATTGCAACAGAGATGTGAAAGACTCGAGGTAAGTGCCCGATATCAGAAGGCAATTCTCTAGGTAAAGCAATTCCTTTTGGGGATTCAGGGTAGAAGCATAAAAATTAACTTTGCTCTTCTCCAGATTTAATTCTCCTCACTTATCCTGATTCCTCAAGTTATTTTCTCTTTTATATCTCCAATGTGGATTTACACAGTGGTTTTGCTTTTCTCCAACCATCTGAATGGTAAGGGGAGATGGAATTAAATGAAGAAAGCAATTTAAAAAATAGTGTAAACTCACATGCTAATGAGTAGAGGAATAGGAAAGATAAGTGGTAAAGATTAGGCAGGGTGGATCATTAAATTTAGAAGGCAGTTCGTCCACTAAAGGTCAACAAAGGTCCAAGAACAAGAAAAGCTTAAACTATCACTGTGGTCATTTTTCTAAGCTCCTGAATACATAAGGTTCAATCACTTCTTTACATTATTCTTCAAGTATAATCCTTATTCATTCTTACAGAATGGAAAGGTTTTTTTTGTTTTTTTTGTTTTTGGTTTTTTTCTGGTACCGGTAATTGAACACATGACCTTGCACTTGCCAGGCAGGTGCTGTGCCGCTGAGCTAAATCCCCAACCCCCAGAATGGAAAGTTTAAGGAAATACGTGTGAGAAGGCAATAATCATGGAGAGAATGATGTTAAATTTAAAAATGCACACACACAGACACACACACATCCACACATGCACATCCACACACACACACACATCCACATGCATACAACACAAAAGCCAAGAACACTGTGTGAAAGGGAATTGACTTAGCTGATCATTTTTAGTAACACAAGGGGTATTTTAAAGTTTAGTTTGCAACCTTTCTCTTTTAATTTCCTTGACATATTGGCTTAAAAATATATCAAGTCCCACCCAAGATAAAGAAATGGTAGATGGGGGGAGGATTTGGTGAAAGTGATAGGACTGAAGAAAGTAAATGTGACTAGAGAAATAGATGTCTAGTATTTTTCTCCTGTATTTATTACAATTTAAAATATTGGATCTATTTAAATTGTAGAAGAATAAAACAATGTAATACATGCATTGTATGGTCCCCAGGAAATTACAACTTGTACTTGAACTTGCATTAATTAATAAAGAACAGATATCAGAATTTAGAGCACAGATTGGATGTGGTGGTATACTCCTGTAATCTTGACACTAGGGAGGCTGAAGCAGGAGTATCCTTGTGGATTTGAGGCTATCCTGGACTACATAGCGAGTTCAAGTCCAACCTAAACTACATAGCAAGACCTTATGTTAAAACAAACAAAGGAGAGGACAATAGTGGATATGGAAACCTATAAGGAAATTATACATAAAGAAAATAAACGATTCTTGGATGTTTCAGAATTAATGAAACAGTGGGATAATAGGAAAGTGAGACAATATATAGTGCACATAGTTTTGAAAATAATGCAGGCACATTACTTGCATTAGAAAGGTTTATTTGAATCACACATTTAATACACACTGTTGTGCCAGGGAAGTATGATGTATTGAGAAATTATTGGAAGAAAATTTGAAATTCTTTTGGAAGGTCAACTTTTACAGTTTGCATAACCAAGGGATGACTTCACAAACATTAAATGAAATCTACTCGTCTTCAAAATCTCTGGTACACAACTGATGCTCCACCCATGTGTGATAAAATCAATTAATAAATTGATGAGAGAAAGTGAGTAACCATACTATATTAGAGAAGAATTAGCCTGGTGATAAGAGGACAGTAGAGAAAACAGCCTGGAGGCAAAGAGGCTTCTAGGAGCAACAGGCAGATGAAGTCACAGGAGAGGGAGGAAGTTGCTGAGAAGGATCCCCAGGTACACAGGGCATTTTCAAAGGAAACTATAAAAAGCTTGACTAGTTGGAGGAGATGATTTATAAATAATTATGGCCATCTTGATACTCAAGACATTAACTTTTGCTGAAATTGTAAATATGCAGGTGGTAATTGAAATGAAGGGTCAAAAAATGGTTCAAACTCAAATCTGGGGTTGTTATTTTAAAGTCTTAAAATAACTGACATACTGAGGTTGATCGAGATGATGAAAAGATTTATTCTTGATAGAGAGGAGTAGAAAGAAAAGACCTGCACCTGGGCATACAATTGTGATCCATTAAACACACACTGATTTGCCCCAACAAGGAACAGAAACGGTGTACTAACAAAAATAGCTTGGCATGGGTTTATTGTTTGCTACTTTTGACGTGTTTAGGTATGTCTTAAGAAGATACTATTTAAATATATTATTAATGATTGATACTGATAAAGACCAGTTATACTGCTTGAGTTTAAATAAATTCAACTCACCTAGATGAATTCTTCATGTCATAGGATAGAAGATATTTCTCACTGAACAGTGCATATTCATTTGGTCTTGTTCAGTGAGGCCCAGTTTTCTTAATTTAGCTGTACTTGTACGAATGACATGGTCTTCTCGGTATGGCCTCTTTTTTCTAACATTTATAAAGTAAATGAATCAACTCACTCTTTGTGCAAACAGGAAAAATTTTATTTTAGTTTTCAAAATAATATTTAAAAGTCCAAATATACAATTAGTTCCTTTTCAAACATAGCATTTATTTTATAAATTATTTTAATTTAAATCTATAGTAATAACAATATCTACAGTGAAATTAAATCCGACTGTCCCCCCTTGGTTACTTTTTTCTGTGATCCCTGTCTTGGTTACCTTTTTCTCATTGCTGAGACAAAATATCGGACACTCAAAATTAAGGAAGGAAGAGTTTATTTAGCTCACAGTCTGTGGAGATTTCAGTTCCTTATTCGGCTGTCTCCAAGGCAGAGTGGCACATGGCAGAAGGCAGATGTACATGGCGGCAGAAAATAGCAAAGTCAACAAGAACAAAAGGGAGGAGTGCTAGAAGCAGCCTATTTCCTTCCCTTACATATGCAAACTATTCACCCCAGGATGGGTGTAACACTCACACCCATAATCCCAGCATTGGATCATGGATCAGTCATAAACTCTAAAAACCCACCTCATGACCGCATGAGGCTCTGGGGGGACATCCATACACAAACCATAACATCCCCATAGTATACATTCTGAGCCCCCCTATGGATTCCTGAACCCATGAATAATACCATGTAGTACTCTGTATATACTATGCTTCTTTTTCCTACAGATACATCCCTATGGCCCAGTTTGAGTTATAAGTGAATCCTAATAAGATATGAACAAAAATAATGATAAAACTGAAGAATTATAACAATACATTATAGTAAAATATGAATGTGATTCCTCTCTCTTAAAGAGTCTAGAAAAGTGTTAGTATTTTTGAAGCACAGTTAACTAAGAGTCAACGAAAGCCTGTATGTAAATTTAAAGCATGCAGAAAAGTGGCACTGTGTCTAACATTACCCACCGAAAGAAGCCATGACAGTTTGGGTTTTATAAACCAAAATGATGCAATGGAGCTGGTCTGTATAGGAAAGTGGGGTGGGAAGTAAAACCCCAAGAGTTCAATAATGTTTACATCAAGGAAATATAGCAAGAAAACATGTAGAGAAATTATGATTTTTAGGGATTGGCAATACAGTTGGCAAACATTCGGAAACAACTTTTGTTTTTTAATCCCCCACCTCAAGGTTTCTCTTCTTTATTTGTCATTGCTGAGAAAAATGTGTTAGGTAGAGCTCAGTGTTTGGGCACTTACATAAGCCTGTCCACTAAAGAGATCCCTCTTTTTGTTTTAAGAGAATTGCATGAAAATGTATTGAGAGGTGTTGGATTGTTTCCTTTTCTCTGATGTTTCACTGAGCTGTCTGGACCAAGGACAATTATGTTAAGGTTTACAAGGTAGAAGTTCCTATGTACTAATTATTTCAGTTCATTTATTTGGTTGATATTGAGAACTTGGTACATACCTTGAGTTGACTGTCTTTAATCAGCATGCTGGAAGAAAATGGGAAGGTGCCTCAAGTTGTTCGTCCATAGCTGTGCAGTGGCTGCATTCTCAAACTTGTTATTGGTTGTAGATGACTTGCAAAGACCATATCAATGCCAAGACCATATCAATTCCAGCTGTTATTCTCACCTGATCCACTACTCAACCCAGAAGTTCTTTTCTTTTTTAAAGAGAGAAAAAAAAGAAAAAACAATAAAAGCAAAACAGAATTTGAAAACAAGATGATAGGAAATTAACAATGGTTATTATGTTGCATGTTGTCATTTTCAAAGCAGTTGCTCAGATTACAAGAAAGGACCAGAAGTGTTTTAAGCCCCCAAATAGATCTACTTACCAGATTCTTCTGCAGTGTAAAGCCTTACAACAAGAAGCAGAATTGCTATGATGTCTCCATATCCAGAAAGTCACAATTCTTTACTCATGGGGCCCACAGATAGTGACTTTTACTTTTATTAAAGTTTTGCTTGGATTGAGTCCTCCAAAGTCCTTACTCTTCCATCACCATTTGGTGGTGAGTTTAGGACTTCTGTGGTTAGTC